CAGAACTTGAGATTATGAATCCTCCCAGATTCATGGGTGCAAAAATGACAGGAGTGAAGGAATTAAGAAAACCAGAGTGAGTCAAGGGTAGATCTGGAGCGATGTAACAAACCAAAAATAGCTACTGAGTTCCATGTGGTACCTCACAGCACTTTGTGTTAGAAGACATACCTATGTGTAATGAGACATGGGACCTGGGACACAGGGGAGACCAGACGGTCACCTCCAGAATGACCAAGGACCATGCCAGGTAGCACAAAATCAGGATTATCGGCAAACATTAATAAATTCATTGACAACAAATCAGCCAAAAGGAAAGCCTGTCCTTCCACTGGAGATCATGAAGCTTCAAAGGAAGAAATGAGTCTCAGGCAGGATTCAGAAGCATCTGGATTTGCTGAGGAAATGCAACAGGATGCAGGAGAGATGCTTGGTTTGGTTGGACCTGAGAAAGGCCTAGGAAGAGGAGAAGCTCTGGAACTATGCAGAGATCTGAGTAAAGGGGTCCAAGGTCTCATCCTGATTGGCCTGTGACTTTCCTAATTTGAATATGAAGGTCCTGTGTCCCAGGGACACCCTTATCCCTGGATAGACCAAGACAATTGGTTAGTCAACCTAGTAGACAACCTCTAATGCCCAGCTTCTAAGGACTCGCCAGAATTGCCATTTTATCTTCTTTCCTGCTCTGTCTTCTGTGCCCAAAGTGAAACAGTTTGTGAGCCCTGCACACCCCTGGGAACTCTGTTGTTTCAGTCACTTTCCTATATAAGTTCATTGAAGGCTCAACATCAGCCATGATTTTCTATACCGTGTGACTTTTCCTCCTTATTGAGGGAAGAGTGATGATTTTCGTGGTTTTCTACCTGCTAACAAGATTCCTCAGCCTCTCTGCTTTTACGGAATTGACCTGTGGCATTAGAACACTGTCCTTACGAAAAGGCAAAGTGAGAAACTCAGCACAAGTGACCACTGTCTGTACGTAAAACATGTCCCCACATCATGCAGAGAAGAAATGCATCATCAGTTTTGGAACTAGAAGCAGTCGAGCTCCCCTGACAACCTACAGTCTTAGCTTTTTTCCTTTGAGTTGCAGGAATTCTGTGAATTTAACAACCGATCATTTATTCCTTTGCTTTGAGGACTCAGCACCAACTGAAGCTCGAGTTTGAACTATGGCCCGTGATTTTCCAACATGTGTTTTTACATTCTAACTTTATCTCTGGCTTTATTTAATGCTCTTAATTTGCTTATCTCCGTTTTTCGTCTGTCGATCGTTTGGCATGTCATCCACCATCGCAAAGACCATTTTCCACTTTTTTATTGGTTGTACAGCTCAATAGGTTTTACAGATCAGTAGGTCCCTTCCTGCACATTGGCAGGTGCACAGAGCACGCTGTGGCCCTCTTCGCCCCTTCCCTCCCTCCCCAGCCCCCCATGGTGAGGAGGCTTTCAATGCAGAGAACACATTCTGTTCTTATGGACTCCTAGTATCTGAAAGATGAGGTGTGAGAAAACAAACGCACTCTTCAGTGAATTAATGAGATGTATTTGGAATGCACAGAAAACAATGTCCCCTGGAAAGACACGCCCTTTGTGGCTGGGCCTTCTAGGTAAAGGAGCCCCCAAGCCAGGCCCAGAGATGCACTCCCTTCCCTGTACCTGTCCCTCCCCCACTGGGGACATGGATGCCATCACAAACTTCTCAGAATCTTTGCTTCAGTTTTTCTTCACAGAGGTCACTGCTCTGCAGGTCGAAAGCCATCTCTACAAGGTGAGCTGACAGAGATACAATGACACTATTTATTATGAGGCACGGCCATATGGCTTGTGTTTAAGGAAACAGCATTTCCTCTTAAGAAAATGGAGCTCTGAGAAGAGTGTCTACCCTTAGAGGAACCGCGTTCCCTGGAAGCATAAGAAAGGGATGGGGCTCATGCAGTCTGGACAAGGAGAGAGAAGAAGCCCCTCTCTGTCAGTGACCCCTGCCCCCCAAGACCTTCCCCCCTCCTGCCCTCCGCAGGGGCCCCACGTCTCTCCCTGCCTGCCTCCCATCTCTCCATCCTCCTTCTCCCAACTGCCTGCCCTGTGACAAGAGGCACAAGACAGCTTCCAGCTATAGACTCTGCTCTACAAACCAAACCCCAAAGTGCAGGGCTCCAGGAGCCAACACAGCCCAGTAGGCATATTAACCTTCCTCAACCATCTACGTCAGCCACCCAAACCTAAGCTGAGGAGGGAGGGAAGACAGAGACATGGTGTGAAAAATGCAGACTTTTGTAAGATTGCAAGTACTCGATGGACTTGTAGTGAAAATGAACATGTGTCTTACTTAGCAATTAAATCCACTCAAAGGGCTAGTAAGTCATCCAAGCACCCCTATTGCGCCTGGCTCCGGGCCTCTTTTATTATCCTGGCCTCGTGGTCCTGCTATAAAACAATCAGCGGCCCCCTCTCTAGAAGGATTCCCTGTTAGCCTGCTTCGCTGCCCTTCCTGGACCAGGGCCCGTACATAGGCTGGGGGAATCAAAGACAAAGCAGGAAATGACCCGAGGTTTCTTGGTCCTTTCCCTCATACCTCACAGTGAGATTATCATGAGGTAACCGGAGTCAAGAAAGCTGTTTGAAAATACAGGACTTTAAAACTAAAGTTTTGTTTATTTGTTCTTGGAAGGGTTTAGGTCACACCAAGCACAGTTCAGTTTCTAATTTCTCATTATTAATTCTCTTTCCCTTTTACAAGCAGTGAAAACGTTGTTGCTCCTTGCAAGGGTCCAGGCTGAGCTAAGGGAAGTCTGAGGGTAGAAGACTTTTCCACGCTGAACACGAAGGTCACCCTTAATGCACCACAGCTGCAAATGCCCCGTTCTCTCCAATAGATTTCTGACAACAGTGTCTATCTGGTCCTCCCACGGAGTGAGACAAACAGACCGCTCACAAATATCCGCAAGTTAACAGGAACATCTGAACTGTATCCCAGCACTTACGCTCTGGCTATTTGTCTTTTACACAAGTGCTATAGAAATTCAAATGGCAACTCAACAACATCTTCATGGCTGGGTTCACAGCTTGGTGGCAGAGCATGAACTTAGTGTGCACAGAGCCCAGCTAGCACCGCCCCCCTCTCCAAATCATCCTCATACCCACAAATGTTTTTCATGTAGTAGTCAATTTGGGATTATTGCTTGTGTTCAGGTCTGAACAGATGGGAGTTAGGTCTCTCGTTAGGTCTCTAATGAGAGTGAGGTCTCTCATCTGAAAGTGTATTGTTTCCTTAAGAAGACAAAGACGTCAGACATTCCAAGGAATAAGATGAGAGGTTGCAGCAACTGACTGTGAACCTCAGGGAAGCATTTTATTTTATTTTATTTTATTTTATTATTTTATTTTATTCTATTCTATTTTGTATTTAGTACAGGTGTTACAGGGTCTCACTACATAGATCAGACTCGTAGTGATCCTCCTGTTTTCAGTCTCCCAAGAGCTGGGATTATAGGCACACGCCACCACATCTAGTCTCAGTTGCCTTCCCAGCGCACCCCGGGGATGGGGCCGGCACAGCAGGCCAGGGATCGAACCCCGGCTGCTGTGTTCTGCTTAAGCAGGTGCTTTAGTCCACTGAGCTATCTGGCCGGCCCTTTCAGAGAAGCATTTTAACTCTGTGGGTCTCAGTGTGCCCATCCAGAGTACAAAAGCGTGGCACCAACCGGTAGATGCCTAAGGGCTGCTTCAGCTTTTTAAGTCTAAACTCAGAAAAACAATTAAACCCTTTCTACAAGACCACTGGAAAACATTCCCTCTGTGAATGCTTTTTCAGCACACACAAGACAATACTGTCTCCGCAGAGGCCTCCGGTAGCCTTATTGTGGTGCACTGTATTTTTTGGAGAAATTGGAAAGAAATGTATCTACGAATGAGCAGACATTCGTGTTTTACTATACTATATAATACTATAAATAAGGTAGCCCAGCCAAAGAAAAGTGGTTAAAAACAATAGTCCTAGAGCACTGGGACTACAAACACCAACAAGCTTTCGGATCACATTATATTTAAGTCAGGAAGGACTATAATCATGCCAAACTGCAATGACAAAGGCGTTGGAATTCTGTGGTTGCTTTGCTTTGTTTTGTTTTTTCTTCCCAAGCATTAAGTTGCCTCAGGGTTGACCCGAGTGTCATTCCAGCGAGCGCCCTCATGTGGCAAGAAGATGCAATTGCGAAATCTCTTTGTCTTGCGGTTGAGAAGGCCAGACAAATAAATGGTCGCAGCCACCTTTGAGCGCTTATTACATTTCAAAGACTGCCTTAGGTTTTTACATGCTACTAAGAGAAAGCATCTGCAAAAGTCGATTTTCAGTGTCACAGAGTGAAACTGGAAGTCTTGTCTTGGGGAAGCTCAAGCTATGGCGGAAGGTTTATGGCCGTGGCTCGTGTTCCCAGGGTCCCCCAAAGGCCCTGAGTCCTCAGCACAGCGCTGCCTGGAGCTGGTAGAAATCTGCGAGGAGGAGCCGGAAGGAAGCTGGTGAGGGGCACTGTGAGACCTGCTCCCCGCCCCTTCTCCTCTCCTTCCCACCTTTCCTGCCTTGCCCAGCCCTGAGCTGGGCAAGCTCTGTCCCCAGTGCCCCCGCACGCCCCACTGCCTCCCTCTGTCCCGAAGCAGCAGGGCAGCTGTCCTGGAGCAAAGCCTCCAAAACTGTGAATAAGATAAATCTTTCGTCCTTATAAAGTGACTTCTCCCAGGTGTTTGTTGCGGTGTCAGAAGGCCCCCACCCCAGTATCCGTGAGCTCAAGGGTCACAGTAACCTCAGCGCTCTGGATTTTTTGTACCTTTGTTGCACCTCCCTGGAATTCTAAGTTGTGACCAAGAAGCTCCGTAAGGCGTAGTTTATTTTCTGCTCACAGCCCACAGTTGCAGATTGGCAAAATGAAGAGAGAAGACAAAAAAGAAAACAGTACCAAAACGCATGTCAAGAAAGAAAGAAAAACTATAGCTCAGTGCACTGTAAAAAAAAAAAAAAAAAATCTCCAGAGATCTTTGGAGCTTTTAATTCAAACAAACTTACACTTACTTCCAAATGACTTGACAGGCATTTTGTGAACCGCTTTCGTATATAATTACAGATTTGTATTTTTTAGTAATCTGCCCTACCCCAGCCTCCAATCTTTCCAGTGACCTATGCCTGTCACAGGGTTTCTGTACTTAGCACCACATTTGATAAAAATGGTGCTTCATTCTCACACAGGATTGCTAAGTAATGCCAATGCCAGCCACAAGCTGGGCTGAAGCAGAAGAGAGTGTTCTGTGTGTTTGGCCCCCTCCCCAGAGAGCCGTGGTCTCAGCACCCACAGTACAATGGTATCTTCTCCTCAAGCACCCCCAGTTCCAGATTCTTATGTAGAAACGTGGATTTTGTACGCTGAGATTCTGTAGCTTCTTAAAGGAAATTAGAATGTCAACGTTTTCAGCAGAAATATCCTGATTTTTAGATTTTGGGAAATTTTAAACAAATACACAAGAAAGCTACGTGTGAAACACTGTCCAAAACAAAGACAATGTTCAACCCAGATTTGACTATCCATAACTTCTTCTGTTGGGACTGTTGAGGGCTGAGGTTCAAGCTGCGCCTGGGGATTGTCTACCTAAGGATGGCAATGAAGAAATTCTAGAGGAAAGGGGCTCAGTTCTTCTGATGTGCTTTATGTCCTTGTGGACATCACATCAAAACAAATGGCAGAGATCTTCTCCTCAATTTCTCTTATCTGACATATTTCCATTATGTGGATATTCTCATCCGTTTCCGAGAACTTGACAGTTCACAGTGTTCACTGCAAAACCTTTCATTATTCTCCCAGTAGCCATTCGGGTTCACGTTTTTTTCTTTGTGGTCATTAAAATCTGGTCTTTAAGAAAATCCATTCCCATTTTCTGGGTTAAGCTATGCTATCTGTCCATAATGGAGACTGTGAAATCTTCTCTCCGGAAGACCAAGGCATTCATCAATGAAGACACTACACAAATTTTACTTGGAGTTAACACATCAGAACATTTTCAGCCATGTAAGAAGAAGGCTTTTTTATTCAACACTTGCTGCTTTATATCTTCCTTATGAACAAAGGAGGATAAGGCATCGCTAGGCTCTCATTTAAGAGTGGCTGTGCTCTGTATCTATCCAGATCCAGAATTTAAATCTCTGCTATCCTGAGGAGGTACAAATATATATCTTTAGTAAGTTCATGAACACTACGCTAACCCAAAACAGTCTCAACTACAGAACTGTCCTTCATGGATTCAGAGTAGGAGAAAGCCACATGGACTGGATCACCCAATGAGAAAAACACACGGGAGGAAGTTTTATCCTTTACAGCAGGAATGGCAAAGAAGATTTTTCATCTGGAAAAAGCTTTCTGAAGCTCCAGTAGGAGATCGGGTTACAGTCCTTGGCAGGGCAGGAAGGAGGAAACTAAGCAGGCACCGTGCAGAACAAGAGACCTACTATTGCATATATGTCGTAAAGATATATGCACAATTACATGTACGCATGTATGTATCTATTTAGTATCTGTATGTAGTGGATCTTTACAAGTCACAGTTTTAGCAGCTTGACCCTTTTCACTATTATTGTGGGAGTTTTGCTCCTCTTCAACTTGGTTTCTTTAAAAGATGAATGGAATAAGGGCCTTCCGAGACTTAGGGTAGTCCTCGAAAACCTTGAGGTAGAACCTAGAAGACAGTAAAGGCATCGTGAAAATATAAGTGATAGCAGTCATCAGTGGAGGCTTGTAGAATCTGAACTATTTGTTCCAAGTCAACCTACAGTGACTCCGGGCCCAGCTATTCCAGGTGGCCATTTGCCTATGCTCTTTCTCTTTCCTCCAGCCTATCTCTTTTAAGTGTTGATTCTTCTTGTGTTGAGAAAGAAAAAGTTATAGCCAGAAGGCAGTGGTAATGGCTGCACCATATTATCAGTACACCCACTGCCACTGAATTTTATATTAAAAGTTGTTAAAATGGCAAATCTCATATTATGCATATTTTAGCAGAATTTTCTAAGGCAGGAGCCAGAATGAAGTACTCATTTGGATTCAGCTGAGAACTATACAGAAACAGAAACTCTCAAAGGTCATGAGCACAGTTAGCCTCAGAGAACCCCTGGAAAACATTCTTTCCTGAAGCCTGGGAGTACCTCTGTATTTGGGTTCAATTTTGTCCCCCCAAAAGATAGACTGAAGGCCTAACTCCCAGTCCAAGAGAAGGTGACTTAGTTTGCAACTAGTATCACAGCAGCTACAATTAATTAAGATAAAAGCATACTGCAGCAAGATGGGCCTTCAATCCAGTATGACTGGTATCTTTAAAGGAAGAGTTACAGAGACACAGGGGAGAAGGCCATGTGACCCCAGAGGCAGAGATCAGAGTATGACAGTGGTAAGCCACAGAATCCCAAGGATGGCTGGTCTCTGTCCAAAGCTGGGAAGAGAAAAGGGAGGATCCTTCTAGGTCTCGCTATGCAGCTCAGGCTGGCCTTGAGCTCACTTTGTAGCCCAGAATGGCCTTGAACTCACAACGATCCAGCTGCTTCCACCTCCAGAATGCTGGGATTATAAACCCCTACCTATACCTTATTTTCTAACTTCTAGCCTCCAGAACAATCAGAGAACAACTTCATCCCCTTGGGTGGTGGTCAGTTCTCTTGGCAGCCCTGCGGGACAGATGGACCCCATAGAAAGCCTTCCCTGAGGCTGCCGGGTTGCGCTCTGTACTACTTGAACCTGGCTGTGCTCAAGGTATATTCAAGACAATACTCTCTGCTGAAGAACCTTAGTTTGAAGGGAAGGACAAACAACAGCACCATGTGTACACGTGGTTGGTTCACTCCTTGATTTGAGAGAGCCGTGTGTGTTTGGCTCTGCTATGAACACCTGGCCTCGTTTCATAAGCACCTTCACAGAGCTGTTGTAGTCCTGTAAAAGAGACCCTCGCCTTGGGCCCTCCCACTGGGCAGCCTGTCATCTCTAGGGGGCTCCTCTTGGATTGGTTTTGTACCAGCTGAAAACCTTTGGTGGAGTCACTGACCCTTTACAGACTGAACACGCTGGGGCCCTTTGGGGCCCCTCGTGGACACCCAGTCTTCTCCTCTTCGATCCCCTCAGCCTGTGATAGAGAGAGGTGTTTTGTGACCCTGTTATAGATGGGGAAACCTCTGTCGCCCATTCCTGCTGCAAGTAGAAGGCAGCAGGGGAATGTGTGCTTGTTCGTCTCTGAATCGGGCCATAAACCCTATTTAGAAGATTTGCTCTGTGTCTAACTTTCAAATCTATACAGTGGACCGGGGAGATAGCTGAGCGGTCTAAGCACCTGCCTGGCAAGCGCAAGGACCCAGGCTGGATCCCTGGTACCGCATGCCATGCCAGCCCTGGAAACCCGGGTGAGCCAGGCTGGCCACAGAAACTGGGAAAGGCAGCACACACCTATAATCCCAGCGCTGGGGAGGCTGAGACAGCAGGATCACTACAAGTCCGAGCTATGTAGCAAGACCCTGTATCAAAAAATAAAAAATAAAAAATAAATTAAAGAAAAAACTATACGAGGAACCTCGTGCCAGGCTGAGACACCAAGGCAAGAGGAGCCTGAGGGGCTCCCCAGGGTCCTAGATTCGAGCCTTTCCCCCTTTGTCTCCACATTCCCCCTCGGTGTCCAGTAGGCACAAACTTTCTCTTTCCCCAAAAGCCATTTTGGACAACGATCTGAAGTTCACACAGAGGCTTAAATCCTGATAACAATTCACGACTGTACCCTTTTCTTTCTGGTGTTATTGTCAGTTTCCAGTTTTGTCCCCGCCCCTGATTTGTGGGTTCAAGGAAGCTGAGGACCTCGCCTTCAGCGGGTTCTGCATACCTGCAGTTCCAGAACCTACCAGCAGATGGGGCATTCCTAAAACGGTTGTCCACCCCAACTGCTTACCAGACTGCCCCAGGTGGCCCACAAAGATCGTGTCTGGGAGTTAGGGACAGTGGCAGCGGGGGAAGAAGGAAAATAGAACAAACCCTGGCGCTGCACAGATCCTAGGGTTAAAAAAAAAAAAATCCTTCAGCAGTTTGCAGGGCTGTGTGATTACCTGAACTGTTAGCACCAAACTTCGAATGAAATAACACCCCCTTCCCCACAAAAGAGAGCAGCCCCAGGCCCCTGGCTGAGGCTCTTCCCAGTGGCTCCCTGTCCTGTTTGTCCCTCAAAATTATCTGTGAAGTCTTGAGAAGTGCTGGCCAAGGACTCAGCTGTGGAACAGACCTCAAGAAATGTGATGAGGGAGGGAGGGAGGCGAAGGAAGCTTGCCTTACCTGTGGTGGTGAACAGCTCGAGGCCCAAGGAAACAAAGTGTGAAAAATGCAAAAGCAAGAGCTGGAACAGACCAAGTGGCCAAGGCAAAGCCCATCCATTCGATGATCTCACCGAGGAAGTTTGCTCCAGACACATACGTGAACAAGCCACCTGTGTGCACAAGCGTCAGAGTCACCGCTCGGAATCCCTGTGGTAGCAGAGCCCTCTGTTCCAAAATACAAGCAACTGGGCAAATGCAGGGCTGGAGACGCTTTCCGCAATGATAGGAGTGTAGTAGAATTTTCTCAGGGAAAAAGAGGAAATGAAGCCACAGCAGCCTGTGGCCAGAGAGCATCGAGAAACCTGAGGGGTGGCTGCTCATACGGGACAGGGCCCACCTGGGTGGTCAACACCTGCTGGGCCATGGACTCTGTTTTTTGTTTGTTTTGTTTTTTCGTTTTTCTGCATTTAGGACAGGGTCCACAGGGTCTTACTATATAGATCGGACTCTAGTGATCCTCTTGTTTTCAGCCTCCCAAGAGCTGGGATTACAGGTGTGCACCACCACGCCCAGTCTCAATCGCTGTATCAGCACACCCCAGAGGCGGGGCCAGCACAGCAGGCCCGGGGATCGAACCCTGGGCGCTGCGCTCTGTCTCAGCAGGCGCTTTAGCCTGCTGAGCTATCTGGCCAGCCCTTGGGCCATGGACTTTGCATGGGACAAGGAAGAGAAGCAGGAGGTCTGCTCCTTCTTTTCTCTTTTCAGGGGGGTTTGCAGGCCGGTTCTTAGTCCCCACTTCTTGCCAGACACATCCACTCCCAGTCAGCGTACTGCACACTCACAGCCAAAGTGAAACCACACACTCCAGGACAGTAGCCAAACGCTGACTTGATGTGGGAAGTAATGAGAGTTTCTTCGGGCACTTGCTCCTGCCCCCTCTTTCTGCCCAAGCATCCCCACTAAGCCCTAGACTAGACGAGTGCAAAGCAAGGACTGGTTGTCTCGCCGAGTGCTGGTGAAGTCTGCCTTTGTTGGTGTCTGTAGAAAGTACCTCACTTTCTACTCAAAAATATAAGACTTGGCATGGTGGTACGGGCCTGTAATCCCAGCACTTTGGAGGCTGAAAACAGGAAGATCACTAGGAGTTCTATCTGTAGTGAGATCCTGTAGACCCTGTACTAAAATACATTTTTAAAAAACCCAAAAATCTAAAAAAATTATTTCCTCTCTCCAAACTGTATCTGGAAATTGGCATGTTTCTAATTGGATTAAATGTACCTACACTCAAATTTTAGGACACATATTAAATTGGGAAATCGTTGTTGAAACAATTTTTTCTTCTATAGTTATATAAAAAATATTTTTACTTTTAAATATTTTCTCTCATAACTCAAAAGTTGGAGAATAACCTTGGCAATATGATTTTTTTTCATATTGCGGTACCGGGTTTTGAACTCAGGGCCCTGTGCTTGCCAGGCAAGCATTTACTTTATTGCGCTATTTCTCTGGCATTATGATTTTTAAGAACTTTTTCTTCTCTTCTTTATCTAGTTCTTGAGTGAAGGCCTTATAAAATATCAAGGTCCCTTAATTTGCTTTAGGGTGACACTGTATGAGTGGTTTTCTACCTACAGTTCCCTAGACCTGGAGAGGAATGACTGATCTGTTGCAAATTATCTAGAAATACACTAAAAGATATTTTTTCCACCTGCTGTATTATTTTTAAGGTAGATACTGTCAGGGTATTAACAATAATCCAATTACTTAAATGTATTACTGAATTCATGGTGGATTTTTCATTACTTTTCAATCAATGTATATCAATCTACACTAACATATCATAAGTTAGGAATTTTGAATTTGCTGTAAATAAAGTGCTGCGTTTATATTTAGGAGAGCAGGAGCCACTAAGACACATAAATATGTTAAAGGATTCCTTCCATCGATTCCATGCTATATGCTTATTGGTCAAACTCATACCTGAATTTCTGGAGAACAATGAGAATTTGAAACATTTTCTGTCTTTATTTCCAAAACAATATCTAGTAGCATGTAGCATACTGTCTAATGACACTTCAGTCAACAGCAGAGGATGGTGGCCCCATTATATTAGGGTGGACCTCAAAAATTCCCGTCGCCAAGGACCTCACAGCACAATGCACTACATGTGTGTTGGTGGTGATGCTGTTATAAAAAACCTATACTGCCAGTCATGTAAAAGCCCAGCACATACATTCTGCATATGATAAATACTTGACAATGATAATTGACTATGATAGCCTATATATTTACTATCTATACTATGATTTGATAGTTTAGAGTGCATGTTTATGTATCTTGAAAAAGCAGCTATAAAACAGCCTCAGGGTACTATTCCAGAAGCAAAAAACCCTACTGTCACCATAGGAGATGTCAGCTCCTATGTGTTATTGCCTGAAGACCTTCTGGAAGGACAAGGTATGGAGGCGGAAGACAGGGACACCAATGAGACTGACCCTGTGCAGTCCTAGGCTAAGGTGTACATTCATATCTGAGTTTTTAACAAAAAGGTAAGAAAATAATTTAAAAAAAATAATATAAGCTCTAGCTGCACTACAGTTTAGGCTATATCAACTAAGTTCTTATAAACAGACCCTGCGATGTTCACACAGGAAGTCTTTGGCTTTGTTTGTTCAGGCAGAAAGGATTTCATTCCATGTACATGATGATCTTATCTACTTCAGCTACCCGTTTCCACCCTAGCCAAGCCTGGCACCCTTGCCCTCTTTCAGGATACTGCAAGCTTCCTTCCTAGGGGCTCTTGTCGCCCTCCAGAACTTCTGGGTTCAGATCAGAAATGCAAACATGCTTTGACGAGGACGGGATGTGGAAGGGAAGTCAGGACCGACGCAGCCTGGGTTGTGTATCTGACGCCCCTCTCCATTTATTACTTGCAGCTAAGCCCAGTACAGGATCCAAGGAAGACTAGGAAGGGGGGCAGAGGGACATTACCATGTGGAATACTGTAGGTGACTTCTCCAGGTTTTCTGAGCTGGCGCAAGGTGTAGTCACTATGAATGTTGATTCCCATTCCCAAAATAAACAGGAAGACACCTTGACAAAGAAGAGAGGGGAGACATTTTTTAAAAGAAAAAGAAAATCGTGCTTCAATTATCATGGTTTTTATACGAGCCCAATTTTTCTTTGTGTTTTATTTTTTTCTAAAAATGAAGGGAGGAACACTGAATTTCTGAATCTAGAAATGGTACTAAGATATGGTCCCAAGTTCAGGTGGATGAGGTGGTGTAGTTTTTGTAAAAATAAAATTCTGGTACGCGCACTCAGCGACACACAAAAGGCAGGAGGGAGAAGAGAGCAGGAGTGGAGACGTTGGGCCGTGTTTTAAAGACCAAGAAAACATGAGTGAGTAACAGTAAACCCCTGGCAAATAACCAAGCTTCTCAGCAGCTTCACAGGGAATTTCAGCCTATTCTCGGCCACACCCCGTTCGTTCCTCACAAAGGCTGAATAGTTGAAAGGTGACCAGGGGATCTGACTCTGCCAATAAAATGTAAGAGAAAATCTTTAGGGTCTTCCCCAAGAATCTTCTGCTTTTCTGGTAAAGGGGCTGCAGCCAGGATCCCGCAGCCATAAAGTGACAACGTGCAGATCACAGGTAAGCATCCTAAGAACAGTGGAGCACAAAGAGAGAAAGGTCAGGGTTCTTAAAGGGATCAGTAAGCAACAAAAAAGACGCAAAAGTCGACTTCCTCCAGACGCTTCTTGTTACATAAGGCACGGATTCTGTGTTCGGCTGTTACTAATTGGTTTTCTGTAACTCAGGGCTGAGAGCAATTCAAACTTATTTTTCCCACTCTTGTGAAAGTAAAGTGAATTGGACTGCAAGGCTTGGCCACTAGCAAACTTCTACCTCTGCAGCACACGCACATACACGCATGCGCGCACACACACGCACGCAGTCATATAAAATAAGGCATGCATACTACCTGTACTATTCACAACTTTGCTCATCTAACTTAATCACATATCCTGAAGGAACCCTGCTATGTGCCAGCCACTGCTACGGAGAGGGCCCCAAGGGCCCCGGCCCTAGAAGAAAGCCCTGGGTTCAGGCACGTTAGGCGCTGCCTCCCAAGAGGGATCGCTCACTGCCAAGAGACCCAGCCTCGCAGCTCCACGAAATGCATTTGTGCTGATGAGGAAAAAAAGCAAGAAAAGTTTAATTAAGACAATTTCTACTCTCACTTTAGTGGATCTATGATTTCCCACTTTGTCTACTCATATGATCATTGTCTTAGAAAAATAGGTCCTGGGTGGGGGGGCAGTGGGGGACAAAAGTGACAAAATGGACAGTGGTAGAGAAAGACAGGGACCTAGGACCAGGGTTCTGTGTGTTTTTGCGAAAAGTTACCTCAGTTGCCCTCAATTTTCTCACCTGTAACATGTAGCTTCTAAGAGCTCCTATCAGGCAAGGATGGAATGAGGATCCTCCATATATTTATTCATTCATTCATTTATATAACTAATATTTCTTTTTCTTTATTTTTTGGTTTTTTTTAGTATCAGGGATTGAACTCAGGACCTTGCACTTGCCAGGCAAGCACCTATTCTACTGAGCTATCTCCCCAGCCCCTATATAACTAATATTTCTTAAGGGCTTACACTATCCTAAGTACTGAGAATACAAGAATGACAGAAACAGTCCAAGCATCTGTTGTTATAGAATCTGCATTTTAGTGAAGGAATGCAGAAATGAATTAAAGAATTTTTAAAAAATCAATGTAATTTTCTGCCTTGCAGAAAATCAAAGCATGGTGATGAGACAGAATAAAGAAGGGCAGACATTTTACAGAAGGAAGCTAAGGAAAGTATTTTGGAAGATTTGGCATTTGTCCTTTAATTTGAAAATGAGAATGCAAAAGTCTGAGGGAGCGCCAGCACACAGGAAGGCCCAGCGCCTCCGAAGCATGAGCACGGAGTGGCCCAGGGCAAGAGAGGACAGGGTGAGAAATAAAAAGTCATGCCAAGCGCCAAACCAGATTGCAGTGGCAAGCAGAGACACCAAAATGACACCTGGGGCTTGGAGGCAGATTTATTTATATCAAGGGGCACTGATGGGGGACAGTCCCAGAATATCAGGCCCTGATCGCTGGTGGTCTGGGCTTTGATGGAATAAGCAGGCAGGAAGCGCAGAGGCAGAGCGGCGTGTCGATCTGGGAGGGCCTGATGCAGTGCGTACCGGGGTGGCCAGCCACGCATCCCAGTAACCAGGTGTATCTAAGAGACCGAAGCAATGGGCATCAGAACAGGAACTATTACCTGGGCAGTGAAGAAGCTGAGGTACAGTGGCTGGGGTGGGGGGCATTTTCTGTTACAGGACCGCTATCTTTGGTGGGGGTCGGGGGTGCCACTGACTTGTCGAAGAGATCAGAATTTGGCCCCTCAGAGTGTTCCCATTCCTAGATATGCCTCGTTATGGCCTCGTGTTTTATTCGGCTCTATTTGCTATATTTCTTGTGAAGCTGCATGACATTATCATTTTAAGAGAGGTGAGTTTATGTGCTATCAATTCTGGGCACCTTCTTTTCAATGTGAGTTTATTTTTAAAATTAAGTATCATTTAAAGGGCACAACTATAATGAAGGAAAAGCTCTACATTTTTTTACCTGCCCCATTTCCACCCACCCTGAATTCCTTTAATCCAACGTGTATAATGTATAGGGAAACTTTTATAATTTTAATGTTTCCTTATACACAGACATAAACATTTTTCTTCTATGCCATTTCCAGTTTAAAAAGTATACTAGTGTTCTAGACTGTTCACCTCTCTCTGCCTCTCTCTGTCTCTCTGTCCTGTCTCTCTGTCTCTGTGTCTTACTCTCTCTCTCTCCAGCTACATAACCTGGAGGTGTCTCCACCTGAGCACAAAGGCCATTCTTCCTTTGTTTTGTGGTTGCTGTTGTTTGTTTCATTTACATATTTGTGTGGACACAGGATACTCTATCAAACACAGGTACCAGGCCTTGTGCAAGGAATCCTCTGGTCGTTTGTGTCAGAATATCCACTGACTCCTGAATGAAGAATGGTTGTTCAAGGATAGGATGGGGTAGGAAATTCCGCTGTAGACGTTGTTAGGGAACTGCAAGCAAAGGTAGATTTGACTGGAGTTCGGTTTCCACATGATCTGGAGTTAGAGCCTGATACTAAACTGATGAATGGGTGGGGTGGGGTGTGTGATGTTGACAGGATGTGGGTAGTCTCTGTTGTACCGTTTCTTTTCTTAATGGAGC